TAATAATAATAATAATAATAATAATAATAATAATAATAATAATACTAATAATATTAATAATAATAAAACACGAACAAGAACAAGAAGATAATGAAAAATAAAAAAAAAAACAGATTTAACGGAAAATAATTCAATTTGGAAAAACCTCTTCCGTAAATAGATGTAAGTAAACAAAAAAAAAAAGGGAAAATTGAGAAAAAGTTGATAAAAATCACGTATTTACTATTCACATTTTTCTATTCCATATTTCCCATCTTCTGGTTCCAATCTTCCATTTAAGAAATAACAACTAACGGCTTATTTTACTTAATATTTACTACTACTACTACTACTAATAATAATAATAATAATAATAATAATAATAACGTTTTCTCATTGTTCTTAGTATATAAGGAATAATACGAATCACAAATAGATTTCCCCTCTCTCACCTTTGTGTGATTCATTTCCTTACCATAATGTTTTTTTTTATTTTATTTTATTTTATTATCATGTAGTTGCACATACACGAATCAAAAGAAAAAAAAAAAAGAAAAAAAGATAGGAAAAAAAAAAAACAGATACAAGTAATATATATATATATTATGTGTATATTCACATACATAGAGGGGTTTCAAAGAAAGTTTGAAGGAGACAGGTTTTGCGCTAGATACAGTATGCTCTCACACTCACTCTCAGATGCATAAATAAATATATATATTTTTTCTTCATTTACATAATAATAATAATAATAATAATAATAATAATAATAATAATAATAATAATAATAATATAAAAAAGTATAAACATTAATTGAATTGGGATCCATACACACTGAACCCCCACCCCCATCCCTACTACTAGAGGTTAGGTAGGCATTATATCATCATTGTGATCGTTTTCTTCTTTTTCCTCTTCTCTTTTCCTTTTCTTCTTTTTCTTTTCCTCTTTTTCTTTTCCTTTCTTGTTCATTAACGTCTATTTACCAAAAAACGTGGTGGTTTTGAAATAATTTCCACCCCATTCTCGGCTTCCAAATTCTCTACACAAGTTGTTGTGTTTCGACTGCCTTCCTCACTTCCTCCCCACGTTACTCCTATATTTTCTGTAGACTCCGATGCTCCCTTTTCTCTCGTCTCATTTGCAAAAGAAAAACTAACGGGAAGGACAATTCCATCTCTTTCATGAGATGCCGCAATACGAGTAAAGAAGTGTTCATTTCCCATATTCGTCATGGAATGTAGATTCGATTGAGGAGTCGATCCATTTGGACGTGGACTCCGTGAAGTTTCTTCACTTGTTCTTCTGGTACTTGGAGGAGAAACAATATTCGTTATACTTGTTCTCCCGGGTGAGGGAATAGATGCAGAGACATTCAATAGAGGTTTTGTTTTCTCTTCTGTAAACGGTTGGAGTACACGACTCATATCGGGATAAGGTTTTAATGTTTTAATAGCATCTCGTAATTGTTTAATAAAAACTTCTTGAAATTCTGCTAATTCCTGCATGAGATCTGGTTTAGTTTCATGTAAAGAAGACATGGATGGACTCTCTGTGGCTACATGACTAATTCGACGAGATCCACGTAAGAGTGATCGCATATAATGTGGTAATTCAAAAATATAATGACCGGCCCAATTCCCTGGTAAGATGCGAATAATATTACCTTCTTTTCTTAAACTCTTCTCTAAAGCAAATGTTAATACGAAACACTCGGAGAAGGGAGTAGGTGGTAAACGTGGTTCTCCTGTGAGAAAGAGTAAAACTTGTTGAGCCTCATCTCCCGTAAAGTGTTTATTAAGAGATTCAATCACGATATTCCGTACATCATCTGCATAGATTCTTCTTGCCAATTCCGGACCACAGAGAAAAACAAAATGATCTTCCCAACGGAATCCCTCTTTGCGGTATTCATTCCCTAATGTTTTTCCACACAGTACATGACGTACAATACGAGCACAACAGGTTTCCAGTAAAGGTGAATGGGCCACTGGTGTGGCTTCTAATCCACGAGCCACTTCTTCCCAAAAGGCAATAGACATATCGGTATCATTTCGAATATTTAATATTAAAGTATCACACGCTCGACGTAATGATAATGCCAATACTCGCTTGGCATCTGACACATCGCTTTGACCAGCTACATGGTCCATTACATTTTGAAGATGTTTTCCATCTAAATTTTTTAATTGTTCATATAATTCTTGAGAAATAAGCATTAAATCTGCTGGTCTAATATACCAATCCGCTAGTACATCCTGTTGTTTAATCACACGTCTCATCATACGAAAGGCTAAAGGGGCTATTGGGAGTTGCAACTGAACTTCATTAGTGAAACAACTACCAAGTAACCATCCTAATATAAAAGGAATACTACGTGAGGCAGAGGCATCACGATTAAACATATATTTGGAATTTGTCCAAGCAAAATCTCTATTTTCTATTTCAAGGAAAATAGGTATATTGCGTCCTAATAACGTTATAGATATAATCGCAACATCTGATGGAAAAGCCTCTACAGTATCAAAAATAACAACATGTTCTCGTTCATTAATTTGACAAGCCCAGATAACACTCCATTCAAAATAAATTTTCTCCGTATGTGTGGAATCTTTTTCACCCTTATCACTTGATGAAACTTCTCCTAATTGGAACGCCGCATGTTGAGGAACGGCAAGGGATGACATTGGTAACTTCGCAGAAGAAAGAGATGCCCCTAAATCTCCCTTTACCCCATTTTGATTATTCGTTTCTGAAGATTCACGAAGTATTGTGGAGTTCTCTGAACTCTTCAGAATACTATCAGTAGGTAAAGCAGTAAGTTTAAATACATCACCATGACGGATACTTCTGACATGATCTTCATGTTCCCAACGTAAAATAGCTCCTGTTTTCTCTGCATATAATTGCATACGAGCATCTGAGAGTTCACTTTTTAATATTTGAAGTTCCGAGGGTGATAAATTTCCCAACATTTGTTCTCTCATTTCCATCTTTACACCGTCTGTGATATCAACAGGAAGTTTAGTCAAAGACATACATTCAGTTGCGAAGATTGCATACAAAAGACGACAATGTCGTTTCCATTGAATATCACTGTTTACTTCCAATACATCTCCATCAAATTCTGGAACAATCACATCACTTACTAATCCCGTTTTGGAACGTTTACGAATTTGAGGGACTTTTTTATGAATAGATTTAGTAAGAGAATCAAAAACGTTAAAACAATCTATAGGGCGTAGTATGTGGGTTTCCTGTACAGTTATTTGACAATACAACTGTAACATGGTATGAATTTCTTCTTCTCTTAATGTGTAGAGGGGAAATATTTCCATCCATCTTCCCATATCGGCTGGACAGAAAGAGCCAAAGGGAAGAACGCCCATGAATTGATACATAATGCGGAGTACATTTGAACAAATCACCGCATCGGATGAATTTCTTCCTTGAAAAACACCGGTAGAAGATCGAAAGAGTTTAATAATAACCGTTGTCCATCCAATTGCTTCTACACGGAGTGCAGAGGCTAAAGCGAGATCTTCGGTAAGTAAAGAATTGGCTCCCATACGATTTTCTTTCCATTCTTTTGTTTTCCGTGCTGCAAGCTTTTGAGATTCGGTTTGTGCAGTAGAAACAGATTCATTATCTTGCAGATTATCACGACGATCATCTGCCGCAATACTCTTTGAACCCCCTGCGAAGAGAAATAACATTTTCAGTAGAATATTCATAATCACTGTAAGAGATGGGGGATGTCCATCTGTTTCTGACCAGTGAACAAGGTAATCGCTATTCACAAATATATGTGGATAATGACGTCTAAACTCCTTAAAGAAAGAACCCGCCAGTTGCTCAAAACCATTACATAGTTTTAAAGCGTGTTCTTCCAATCCTTTAAGAAGCATTCTACCTCCCAACACCGCCGCATCTCCAAGTTCTTTGCGTTTTACTCGTATGTATCGAGACACATGGAAAATAAGTCGAAGGGAAAAACATGAAAGCATATCAGATATAAATCCAGAAATAAATCTCATTGCTTGTACAATATCTTTTTCACTATGGAAACTTTTAGAACGATTCAACATTTCTATACGATCCTTTAGTGAAACAAAGAAATCCACCCTATTATTTTTCATAGCATTACGTGCAATATATGATGCCAATATAGGTTCAGAAGGAGCAAAGTAATTGTTTTTATTACCAATGATACTTATAGGCATAACACGAACACAATTATGCAAATAAGGAACCATATTCTCTAATAACTGTTGAAAACTCTCGTCAGCTTTTACTGACATGGTTTCTAATGATGCTAGCGAAATACACGACTCTAATGTGTCTCGCTGAAGCCCAGCCACATTATCCATAATACGTTCAAGCACTAAATATCGAGGTGCATTCTTTACAAGGGATGCTACATAAGGAATATGCTCTGCTGCCATCCTAAAGAAAGAAAAAAGAGTCATATTATGAACATAGGTGGAAGTTACCGAGGTACGTGAATTTCCTGCAGTTATATCTTTTTTGATTTCTTTGCATATCTTTTTAATCGTCTCGGCAATATCATTATAATCTGCAAATGAAGTGTAACCAGATGATACACATTCCAATTCTCCCACCACAGCAACAAATTGCTTTTCCCATGATTGCTTAAATGTTTCTATCTCTGCAGAAATGGAATTAGAGTTTGCCGTGACTGCTGTGGTATTCGAGCTATACTGCAGAGCATCATACCCACGTGCACCTGAAGAAGCAGATGCACCCATTGTAAATGTTTAATATCAATACAAAAATACAAGTATGTATGTAAATATGTATGAATGTATATAAGTATGAATGTATTTTCTTCTTTTTCTTTTGTCCTTTTTTTTTTTCTTTTCTTGTTTCGTTTTTTATCTGTTTTTTTTTTTTTTTTTGCCCTCTTTGCTTGGCCAATCCGTTAATAATCCTGAGGGGTATGTCTGAAAAAAAAAAAATATATAATATATTTTCCTTCTTCTCTCACACCCCTCCTTTTGCGGTCCTTGTGGTTAACAAGAATACTATCGTAGAAATGAAATCAAATAATAAAAAAAAGAAAAAAGAAAAAAGAAGAAAAAAACAATATTATGAGGATGAAAAGAAGAAGTAAATAAACCAACACACAAGTAAAGAAAAAATGAAAATGTGATATTCTCAAATTCCCTCAATCTCAAGACATCTTCCAGTGGGAGAAGGGGGGGGGATGCATTGTGGGGATGAAAGTGTAGAAAAAGCAGGAAGAGGAAGAAGAAAAGAAAAAATGAAATGATTTCTCTCTTTTCAGGTGTATTTCTCCCTACAGAAGCATTCACTTTAAACAGAAAACAAAAAAAACAAAAAAAGAAAAACATCTGAAGTGTTTGTACTTTCCATCAGACTCAAGACAACTTCTTTTCTTTTCTTTTCTTTTTTGTTTTTAATTCAACAGTACGCAAATAAAAATAAAAGAAAAAAAGACACACCATTCGTTCACTCTTCTCTGCATATATACAGACTATAGAGGAGAAAAAAGAAAAGTAAAGAAAAAAAAACAATACACATGAATGAAGTGAGAAAAAAAAAAAGTGACACATCTCAATTGTCAACCCTTTTTTTTTTTTTTTTCTTTGCAAAAAGAGTTCTCCCTTCTTTTTCTTTTTTCTTTTCTTTTTCTCCTCTCTTCCGCCTTGATTTTTTTTTCTTTTCTTGTTCTTCTCCTCTCTCAACTGTTTTTTTTTTGTTTTTCTTTCTCACATTTGTTCCTCCCATTGTAAAGTATATATATATATATATATATATATATATTACAGGTAGAACTTTGAGAAGCTGCTCTTGTCTTTTCGGTACTGCACATTCTCTTTTCCCTTTACAAAGTCCGCCTGACAGACTTTCATACGTCGATCCCGCAGTGCCAACAGACCGGCCTCTGTGCAGATGGCTTTAATATCCGCCCCACTCATCTCATCCTTAGAGTGAATAAACTCAGATATATCCACATCACTGGCTAATGACATACGGCTGGTATGAATTTCAAAAATCATCTTTTTCGTCTTTTCATCTGGGAATGGGAATTCAATTTTCCTGTCAATACGACCAGGTCGAATAAGTGCAGGATCAAGTGTCTCAATACGATTGGTTGCCATAATGACTTTTACATCATTACAACTGTCAAATCCATCCAGTTGTGTGAGAAGTTCCAACATGGTACGTTGAACCTCTTTTGCTCCACTGCTATCTGTATCATAACGTTTAGTTCCAATAGCATCAATTTCATCAATAAAAACAATAGAAGGACTGTTTTCCTCTGCAACTCGGAATAACTCACGTACAAGTTTTGGTCCCTCACCTGAATACTTCTGAATTAACTCAGATCCCACCACACGCAAGAAGGTAGCACTTGTTTGATTTGCCACTGCCTTTGCAAGTAATGTCTTTCCTGTACCTGGCACACCGTAGAGAATTACACCCTTTGGGGGTTTTACGCCCACCTCATCATATAATTCTGGGTGTGAAAGTGGGAACTCCACAGCCTCTTTAATCTCTTGAATTTGTTCTTCAAGACCACCAATATCCGCATACGTTTCCTGTGGAGCTTTATCTACTTTCATTACACTTACATGAGGATCATTATTACTCTGTAGGACACCCACAATGGTGTGAAAGCGATCATGTAAAAGAACACTGCAACCCAATTCAAGTTTTTCCTTATCCACAAAAGAAAGCATGGGTACATAATACTCTGATCCAGAGGAAGAGACAATGGCGTGTGTATCATCAATAACTTCCTCCAATGTTCCCACCTCCATTGGAGTTCCTCGCAGGGCATCTACTTTACTCAATTCCGCCTCATAATGAGACATAGCTCCTTCTTCCAAGTTCTCCTGCGCCTCTCGTTGGGCGCCTATTGTCTTGAGAAGTTCCTCCTCCAGCAGCAAATAGTCCTTACACCGTTCAAGCCGCAATTGCTTCAGTAAACACGCCTTTGCGGGGTATATTTTCGGTAGTTTTGCGGCCGTGTCGGGTCCATGGCGCTTTTTCTTTTTACCAATATCAGAGGCCACGGGTGGTTCCCATTTCTCCTGCGGACGCTTCAACTCCTTGGCACTTTGCTGCCCCATTCTTTTTTTTTTTTTTTCCTTCTCTTTGTTGTTGTTGTTCTTTTCTTCTTGTTGTTGTTGTTTAGTGCAAATACAGAGAGAGAGGGAAATAGTAAAGTGTATGTGCCTTTTTTTTCCCCCTCCTTTTTCTTTTTTGCTATTATTCTTGTTCTTTTCTCTCTTTCTCTTTCCTTTTCTCGCTCTCCGTTCAAAAACTTTGGTTTTCTACTATTACTTGTGGTCTGAGTGTATTTGTGGGAAGGTGTATCTGAGCGTTCGACGTCCTCGGATAGTGATGCCTCCTGCAATGAAATAAAAATAAAGAAAAAGAAATAGTAATCCTTTTTTTTTTTCTCCTTTTTTTTTGTTGTTGTTAAAATACGAAAAAGAAAAAAAAGAAATTTCAAAAAAAGATAAAGTGTGTAGATATGTTAAAAAAAAAAACCACAAATGGAACATACTTATACATATTATTATATTTAGAAATAAAACTCCCTCCTTACAAAATAATAATAATAATAATAATAATAATAATAATAATAATAATTCTATACAATACAGAGACAAAAGATTTTTGTTGAACGATATACAAAAAAGGAAAAAAAAAAAACAACAATAATAATAGAAAAAAAAAATAATATTAATCAGACTCGTAATGAAATAAATAAATGAATTTTTCTTGCAGCTCTCATCATAATCTTAGGGATTCTTCAATACGGTTCATAGCATCAAGTACAAGGGCTATCTTCATACGAGCTCGCTCAGATGTGTCGAGCTGACTATCAACACTACCATTATTATTATTATTATTATTATTATTATTATTATTATTATTATTATTACTATTACTGTAGTTATCCTTGTTGATATTTCTCTGTGCTGACTGTTGTGTGATTTGAGCAACAGCACGAATGAGAACTCCGCTGGCGAATTCCAAATCCTCTTGAAGTGTTTCGTGTGATCCCACACCGAGAAGGGCTGCCTGTATGGCGTTTGCAGCAGGAGCCACTGCAACTCCATCATTGGAATCTAAAGATCCAGTCGACATCCTTTTTTTTTTTTTTTTAGTTGCAAAAGTCAATTCGATGGTAATAACGATAATATACACACACTAGCGTAAAGAAAAAAAAAGAAAAAAAAAAAAAAGAGAGAAGAGGAATAAAATTGGAGAGAGAGAGAGAGAGAGAGAAACCCATGAATATGTGAGGATCTCATCAAAAAGGAAGATTATATAAGAAGAAAAGAAGAAAACAAAAAACAAAAGAGAAAAAAGAACGAATGGAGAGATGCGTTTATATGCACTCTCTCAATATACTTCTATGAGGACAAGAGAGTACTGTTCCACATCTGATGCGTACACTGTAAGCCTCACCTCTTCACAGAGAGTGAGAAAATACACACAGGCATGCGCACACACACTTCCGTTCACTCTCATACAAAAAAACGAACGCACACACACACACACACAACACACACACACACAAAAAAAAAAAAAACAACTCCCTGTCGCTTTCACAGAAATGTAGAGAGAGAGAGAGTGGATAAATTATCCCTTATTATTTTATTTTCTTATTAATCATTCATAATCATGTCTTCTTCTTTTCTTTCCTTTTCTCTTCTTTCGTATTTTGTCCTTTTCTTTTCTTTTCTTTTTTTTTTTTACTTCTTCTGTGCTGGGATCGCTACGGTTGGTTCCCCTGCACGACACTTCCGCCGAGCGGCGTGATGCTCTGGGAATGTCTCGTCTTCACACGAGAGGATGTGAACCGTCGGCACACCCGACAGCTTGCAGAGATTCGCCTGCACACTCTGCAGGAGTTCCCTGTCGTTCACGGCGGGAGTTTCGCCCAGCGCCTCCTCCCCGTAGCGCTCCACATTCATTTTTGTAAAGGCGATGAAAGCCATCACCTCCGGCAGCACATCTTTCGTCATCCACGGCTCCTTGCGGCTCATCACCGTCTTTGTGAAGTCCGCCGGGAATGTGTTGCCAGCGGCGGTGTAGACTTCACGCAGAAGCCGCAGTGCCGCCCGCTGCCATTCCGAGTATTCCGTGGCGGTGTACACACACACCTCATTCACCACGCCGTGTTTCTTCTGTGAACGAACGGCGAGGGCACGAATATCCCGCACCACATCTGTCATTACTCGACTGGCCACAAGTGTGGTGTAATCCACAGGCGCCGTCGCCACAGGGAAGTTGGCATTCATCACGGAACTGGTGTGTCCAAGAACAGTGGACCACATATACTCTGCAAAGTGTGGGGCTAACGGAGCGAGTAGGAGGGTTTGCACCTCAACATAGCGTTCAGCGAGATCACGGTGTACCTGCAGATCATCACAGTTGAGTTTATACTGACTGAATTCATTGGACAATTCATGATAGGCAAGATTGAGCACATTACGGAACTGCATACCTTCATAGAATTTCTCTGTGCGACCAATAATGGAGTTTACAGAGTTTGCAAAGATTTTATCAAATATATTAAATTCTCCAGTACGTAGACTATCCTTACTGTTAATTAATTCTTGCGCACTATCTATCGCCGTTGTGAGTTTTAAAATAAAACCAGCAGCCGTTTCACGAACAAAATTGGCATCATCAAGACTATCTCCAGCATCTGCACAGGCAAGACGAGTGGCATCACTGCCATATTGATCAATAGCTTCTGCAAGAGACATAAAGTTACCCTTTGATTTTGACATCTTTTCATTATCCACTTGAATATGTCCATTTGCAAAAATAGCACGTGGCCATTTACTTTTATCATCAGGCCAAATAGCAGCATGTGTGTATAAAAACATGGTTAAATGATTTTGAATAAGATCCTTCGCTGAACATCTTAAATCAACTGGATACCAATAATTAAATTCTTCTCGCATCTTCTCTGCCGCCTCTACAGGAAGTCCAGTAGCGGCATGTACACTTTCTGCTGTACCTTTACCATGGAAAATATAATCAAAGGTTTCATCTGTAAACATTTCTGGTGTAACTCCAAGGATATTCGGCTGACGTGCATCAAGAGATTGTTTACCATCAACGGTGGTATGTAAAAAGTGAGCAATGGTATAATAAGCCATATAGATTGTAGAGTCACTCAAACTATCAATAATCATTTTTCCACTTTCATCACATGGCATCTTTGTACCAAGTCCAAAAGTACGACTACAAGGCCACTCTGCAAGCCAATTAAGGGTTTCTTCAAATCCATTACGAACTCCAGGGAAAAATAAGTTTACATCTTCCAGATGTTTTAATACAGTCTTTTTCCATTCTTCCTTTCCATACTCAATATACCATTGATCACAAAGAGCCACAACGCATTCATCACCAGAGCGACTGGTAACAGGACGTTCAGGTTCATAATAACGAATAGCAGAATCTTGTTCTTCCATCAATTTTGTTGTTTTAACCTTAGCTACAGGAACCTTTTCACCTGCGAATGGACCATTAATCATCACTCCTTGATAGAAACCTGCTTGATAAACTGCCTTCTTAGCTTGATCTAATAAATCAGTAGCATTAGGTCCATTAATTTTTAGTTTTTCACACATATATTTGGCACTTTCTCGTCCCATTTCACCAGGTACTTCAATTATAGGAATAATATCAAGGGCTACCCATTCATCTTTTAAACCAAGCTTCGCACGGTACTCTGGTTTCTTTACAAGTTGAGTATAATTGATGTAATCATCTGGACTGTCTGCAGGAACAGACATAACCACACCAGTACCTTTTGCTTCCGTAATACTCTGCATAGGAAGAGTGTAAATAGTGGAGTATGGAGACAATGGTGCAGAGAGAGGTAAACCAATAAGTTTAGCTCCATCCACTTCAAATAACGGCGTTGGATCCTCACCAGTCTTTCCATTAATGACGTAATCTTGATAGGCCATATTCCGTGCGGCACGAGCTGTCATGATAAAGATTTCCTCAGCACCTGATCTATTTTGAATAGCATATGCCTTGTAAACAATATTAGGAGAAACCCAACAGTTGGTTTGACCAATAACCGTCTCTGGTCGAAGTGTGGCACCTGGAAGAATAACGGGTCGATCACCAATAATTTTAGCGAAGGGGACAAACACCGGTTGCTCTGTTGCCTTTTGTACAGTTAACTTTACCAATGTATATTCCTGCGGTACGGCACCTTCTCCACTGGCACGATCGTGATCTGCACAAGGTTGACCATCCCATGGAGAGTACACACAATAACGTTTACCGAATCCAAGAACTCCTGCTCTTTGCATTTGACGGAATTGCCATGAAATAAAACGATCATAAAATGGATTACGGTCTGTAGTAATAAAAGAACGACGGAAATCAATATGACAACCAAATCGTTTCAAATCTGTAACAGCCATGGGAGGGAAATATTCCAACCAATATAAAGGATCTACAAAGTTAGCAATTTCATCTTCTGGAATACCCATACTTTGCATAATAATCCATTGTGGCTTCGCCGGTCCAGTCTTTCCACGTTTACTCTTATGTTGTCCAACCGCAGCGACACTATCAGCCTTTTCTTCTGGAGCCTTTTCAAGCACTTCATCAGGGAACTTTGGTGGATTACCGTACAACTGCAATTCCTTCTGAATCTTCTGTGCACAAGCGGCGATGGGAGTTCCCGTGACGTGCAGACCAAAGGGCCATAAAGAGCGGCGTCCTTTCATACGCCAGAAGCGAGAGGCGAATTCACACTTTGTGAGTGAAAAGGCGTGTCCGAGATGTAAACGTCCATTCATGTATGGATAAGGGAATGTAACGAAGAACTTTGCTGGTTTGGCTTCTCCCTGCAGTGGGGCGTTTTGTTCATGTAATTTCTCACGGGCCCATCGTTCCTGAGCGGCGGCCTCAATGCCCAACAGCTTATCACGTCGTGCGGTGGACATGATTGTTGAGATTATATATATACGTATATATGCAAATCACTAACTAGAGTAGAATACCCTTCGTCTAATGTTTCTTTGTTTGTTTTTGTTTGTTTGTTTTTCTTGTTATTGTTATTATCTGTTTTTCTTGTGGATGTCGATGAGTTTGTATTTTTGTTTTTATTTCTGTTTTCTCTCCTTTTTTCTTCCTTCCTTCTTTCTCCTATTACAATGTGTCCTTCTTCTCCAGAGGTATACGTTAGTGTTTTTTTTTTCTTTTTTTTTTTCGGCTCGCTTTACTTGTGCTTGTTGTTTTGCGGAAAGCAAAATAACTCAGAAATGGGATAGATGGAGAAGCCAAAGAACAGTAAAAATATTAAAAAAAAAAAAAAAAAGAAGGATAAAAGGGAAATATAACAAGAAGCAGTAATCAGAGAAACCATTAAATAAGGAAAATTAATAATGATAATTCATCACAATAAACAATTGTGCCCAGATAACAATTTTTCTTTTAATTAATTACATAAGAAAATAAATAAATAAAAAAATCCCCCTATCTATACCTAGATATATATATATATATATATACAGACAGATATATGAAATTACCAGTTATACCAAACCCCTAGAAAAATCAATAGATATATAAACAAAAATGAGTAGGGCTAGAGAGTTATGTAGACACACATTAAGTGGATAATAAAAATAAAAATAAAAAAAAGAAGAGAAAAGAAAAAAGGAAAAAAAGGAACTGCAACGGGGTTTAAATAAGCGAGTCTGGTGTAGAAATCATGACTGAGATACATACGTACATACATATATTCCCCATTACCCCACATATATACACAACCTCCCTCACTCCTCCCCCCAAAAAAGAATGGGGGACCCCGTCCCTTTTTTTTTTTTCTTCCACAGAATAGCAATTTATTCCTTTTACTCTTTTCTTTTACTTCTCCTGTTATTATTCCCTAGAGTTTTTTTTTTCTTTTTCAGTTTTTTACCGTTCTTTTTTTTTTTTTCTTTTATTCCTGCAGGAACTTCTATGGTTACACTCGTGGAGTTTGCCATTCTGTTTTAATTCCATCCCTCATTCATTCAATGAAAAAAAAAAAAAGAATCCCCCCACCCAAAAAAAAAAAAAAAAAAACAAATCGCATTCAAACTTGAAAGTTGCGGTCTTACGTACATAGATCCACAGCAGATTGAAAAATAAGCACCAATCTCTCTTTGCGCCTTTTTTCTTTTTCAATGTCTCCTTCCCTACTTTCTTTTTTTTTTTTTTATCTGTCCATATATAGATATAATCCTCATCTTAATTTATCTGTTTCGTACTTCATAGTAGTTCATCTCGGTTCTTTTCGCCTTCCCTCAAATTAAAACATCACATGTTTTTCCTTCCCTCTTCTTTCCCTGTTTTTTTTTCGTTGTTGTTGAACGTTCCTTTTTTCATATATATAAACGCAGGTATGTATGTATGTATGTGTCATGTACTTACACCCCTGCAGAAACATAAACACACATACACACTTCTTCTTTTTGTTTTTTTTTTGTGTATTCAGCACTTCTCTTCTTTCTCTTCTCTTCTCTTCACTCTCTTTCCAGCTCCCCACTTTGTGATGATTTTCCGCAACTGAAAGAACGTGTAAACACTCAACAGATGTGAAGAGAGACATGCATAGAGGCCCGTATATACACATATACATACATACATACAAATAGGTTCGCAGAATGTCAGCGAAACAAAAGTGGTTAAGAGAAACAACCGCAATACCAATAACAACACATTCCATTCCATTTCCCCACCCCAAAAAAAAGAAGATCAACCAAGTTAAAAACAATAAGCGGATAAAAGAATAAGAGTGATCTTTTTAAAAGTGGATAAACAGAAAAAGAAAAAAAAAAAAAACGGGTTAGGGTGAGAAGAGAAGGGAAGGGAAGGGGGAATATATTATATTATTTCTTCCCTGTGTTTGTTAAGTATTCGTTCCTCTCTTTTGTGAGGTGCAAATTTTTATTTAACGTTGTAACTCTTTTTTTTTTTTT